TATGAGATCGCCTCAGATTTGCCCGTACTCAAGAGGAAAAGGTTTAAGTGCCCCGAGTCTGCATTCGTAAGATGAGGACATTAGGCCCTTTATAACTTATGTTGCCCTCCTTTGAATCCTTTCCAGCATGACCACGGGCGCAACGCCTGGACTGCCCATACTAGATGTGAATAAATAAAGGTCTCATAGGATCATGCATAGTACACTGTAGGACGAGTTAGGTGCGTTTGACGACAAACATTCATATGTGCATGGGTGTGACCAAGATGAGAAATGATGTAAACATGCATCTCCTGTTTGTTTATAAAGTGGCGACTGTGGTGCAGGAAACAGTCCAAGTTGGTCCCTATTCGCATCAGTTGTTTATGTGAAATGATGCTAGATGCAATTTCGTTAGACTTAACAATTGTTGCCCATTACGCGAAGACCCCCCCCCACACCCCTCACTGACTATCCCTAATTCCATGGAAGTAGGACTGATCAGCATAGCGGACGCCACGAATGCTTCCACGAAGAACATAAATATGAATTAAAATAAAAGTGCAACTCCTGGATCTTTATAAACAAGGAAATAAATCAAATTATTCAGGAATGGCTGTCATGATCTCCGTGGCCTCTCTGTTTTCTGCCCTTCTCGTATTCTCTAGTATTATTGGTTCAGAGGCCCGTCCAACTACAGTACACCCAAAGGTCTTGGAGGACGGCAACGATAGTGAAACCTATGGTACAGACGCCCCGGCGGATTCTGCAGTGAAGGATACGCCACCGGAAGGCAAATTGGAGGTTGTCAAACCTACGGATGACACTGTTGTACGTGAAAAACGATATTTTCAACTGCTTCTTCCGCTTTTACCGCTTTTTTTGACATTCACGCCTCCACCTTTTCAACCTTCCCCGCCTCCACCACCACCACCTCCAGTGCCTCCTCCACCCTCCCTGTTTGGTTAACCTTTTTTCTGAAGTCGTTCTCCTTACATCCTTAACCGCTTTTTCTAATTCCTCTTCCGACTTCTTCTCTGATTTCTCCACACCGTCTCCTTCCACTTGTAGACTGTAATAATTCCATCTTCCTGCCTAATATAACCTGCAATCCACAGTCATATGCATTCCTTGATTTCTGTTATTTATTTGCATGAATACTTATAGTAGGATTCAAATAAATGATCATTTCCCGTTTACATATTTACGTCTAAGTAAGTAGAATGGCAATGAGGCGTTTCGCTGAATATTTTATCATTTAAAATTGTGCACTAGAGACCGAATGCTAGGTCTCTAGTTAACTTTGTGTCCTAGCAAAAGTATCACCCGAAATACGCCTCCCAATCAGTGTACTTTAAGATACGGCTGTAAGCACTTAAGAAGTGGACATGCTGTTGTACATGAGTGTTCTTCTCATCAGCCTGAATTTTAGTTATGAAAACTCAGACTAAATGGTCGCCTTCTAAGTATAGCTATTGTGATACTTGTTGCCATTTTATACAATGACACATGGACGACATTAAATTCCATCCTCGGTTTGCAAATTTTTTGTTCCAATGTTAAGTAGACTACATGGAGAATGGACCTTTATCTTAGATAAGTTAAGCGCTCAGAAATCGGGTAGGCTGCTCGTTCTTGCCGTTGACTGATTGCTGGCTTTGTTGGGCCAGCAGAGCTCTTCGTTCATATATGAGGACTCTTTTGCTTCAAGCGACAGTATAATAGCATATATAATGACTACA